TGAGAATCTCCATAGACAATCTTGCTGTACTTCTTTGAGTTGTTCCATGCTCTGGCTGGTGTCAGCTTTGATGGTGTCCAGCCACCACGTTTTTGGCGGCTTGGTTCCCTTTTTCCACTAACTCTTCCAAGCATAATCGCTTTCTCCATAGGATTCCTCCGCATGTCATGGCCAAAATAAGTGAGACCCAGTTTTGTGGCTTTTGCCTTCCAGTGACATGACTGGTGTGATTTCTTCCAGTACTTGCTTGTTAAACCCCTTTGCTGTCCGAAGACATAAATTTATATAAATGCATTTAATATAAGCACGGTCACATTTATTTTTAAAAAAGTTTAGATCTTCTATCCAGTTGACCAGGTTGGTTTATCTTTTAAGCTTGTGAGGATTTAAAATGGAATCTTCCCAACAAAATTGCTTCCTCCACTCGCCCACCCACCCACCCCGCATGATATGGCCAAAGTAAATGAGATGCAGTTTTGTGATTTTTGCCTTCTAGTGTCCGATCTGCTGTTATATCCTCCAGTACTTGCTGGTTGGTCACCTTTGCTGTCCAAGGGACCATTTGATATAACTTAATTAAATGAAGAAAAAAGATTTGAATAGCTGAAGGGCAAACATCTGCTCTTCTAAAATGTTCTCTTCTTTCCCAGGTCTGGAAATGTTGCTTGAAAATGTGTACGACACAGTTTTTGCATCACTGGAACCAGCTCCTACCTTTGCTGAAAGTAGCATGTACAGGATCCTACAGAGACGTTTCCTGGGAGTGCAACTTGCAACAACTGGAAGGTTCAGATGTACGTGTCAAGGTTCTGACTGACAAACTTCTCAAGCAAAGCTTGATTGAGTGCATCATTTTGGCACATATGAAAGCAAAACCAGATTTAGCTATTTCCTCCGCAAGCCCATATAGTTAAAGTATAGATTCTCCCTCCCCTATTAGGCCAGTTCACACTGTCCAATTCTGTTTCTTAATCTTGTTATGAGAAAGTCTTCTTGGCTCTGGCAAACACATGTCCTTGGTTCCCATGGCTGTTGTCTCATTGCCGAGAAAGTACATTCCATTCTTCTTCTCCCTCCCCCCTTGGGTTGTTGTCAAGTTGAGTATTGAAAATGGCTGAAACAGCAAAAGCAAATTTTGAAGCTTGACATTATGTAGCATACAGTTCTGCGGGTTTAGAAAACACAGATCCAAAGAAGGCAAGTCAACATCTACAGACTTACATTCATTTGTTTACTGATCATTAGTAGTTTCAATGGCACCGAAAAAATGATTTATGACTATTTTTTACACTTACAACCATTGCAGCATCCCCGCAATCACATGAACAAAATTTGGATGCTTGGCAACTGACCCACATTTATGACGGTTGCGGTGTCCCAGGTCCATGTGAACCCCTTTTGTGACCTTCTGACAATTGAAGTCAATGGGGAAGCCAGAATCAGTTTATAACCGTGTCACTATCTTTAACAACTGCCACTTAACAACTGTGGCAATAAAGGTGGCAAAAGTCATTTAACTAATGTCATGCTTAGCAATGGGAATTTTGGGCTCAATTGTGGTTGTAAGTCAAGGACTATCTGCATTGTTGCTTGTGAAATGAGATGGTTCTTCTCTCAACTTCTATTCTACCCATAGTAGTTGAACAGAGGATCATTCTTATTTTTATTGATTTATTGTTACATTTATATCATTTTATGTATATATATCTATAATATCTACCTACCTACCTACCTACCTATCTGATCAACAGTAAAAATGCAGAATACAGAGCCCAGCCAAATCAATACCGGTGTAATTAAAATCCTTCAGGAGCCCACTGGTTCGAGTCTTTTTCTTCTGGAATTTTTTCCATTAGACCAGTTTTTTCAGGATATTTGCCAGACACCAGAACAAATGTACATGTGAATGAAAACTGGTTCCGTTCTACTTTTCTTTTGAAGGCCCTTCCAAGTGTGAAATAGAGTATTTCACTGCCACTCGTTTTGAGGAGGATTATAAACCATTGTGTGAAGATAATGGTGCCTACAAGCCGATGCAATGTCAACTTAATGGAGAATGTTGGTGTGTCGACAACAGAGGACAGGAGATCCCTGGAACAAGAAGGAGAGGAGAGCAACCAATCTGTGGTAGGTAAAGCCAGAAATATGCTCATCAAGGATTTTCATTCCTAGCTTAATATCAAATATCACTTGCAATGCAATAGCAGTGAATTTCTCATTTCTGAATTCCCCCAAAACATCTAACCCAGGGGTGTCAAACTCAATTCCATTGTGGGCCACATTAGGGTTATGTTTGACCTCAGTGGGTGGCAGGGAAGGGTGCAAGGCCAGGGTGGATATGGCCAACTTGACGTCACTTATGTCATGGGTTCCTGTGGTGGCCCAAAAGCTCTTCCAGAGAAAACAGGCTCCCGAGCTCTGTTTTTGGCTGCGATAGCCTCCTGCAACCTTGGTGCCATGAAAATGGAGCTCAGGAGGGCTGCATGCAGTCCTCCCGAGCTCCGTTTTTGCTGGCAAAGGCACCACGGACTGGTCCGATGTTTCCAGGGTGGCCCCCTGGACCAGATCTAAGCACTCCACAGGCCAAATCGGCCTGAAAGCCTTGAGTTTGACACTCTTGATCTAACCAATCACAATGATCAAAGATGCTGGACCTTGGACTGATCCAGCAGAGTTATTCTTATGTTCTTAAAATATAGGAAGATAAAGGTTCCCCCCCCGCTCTTCTTCTCATTAGGTTGGTGAGAGTATTGAAACAAAATTCCAAGAAAGGCAAGCTGTTCTATGTAATACAATGCAGATTTTTATTTATGGAATTTTGGGCCATCTTTTGGGGACGAGCTCCGGTTTATATGGTTTTTGAAGAGAACAAAACATATTCAAGGAGGATAGGTTATTAATGGCTGCCAATCTTAAGGTCTCATTATCACCTTGATCACAAGCAATTTACTTTAAATATCAGGTGCTGGGCAGCATCAATGGAAAGAAGTTTCATTGTAGGAGAAGAGCAGACAGAGCGGGGGCAGAGTTAAACGTGTTATCAGTCTAGAATCATTAGAGTCCCACAAATGGTCTAAGTCCAACCCCCCCTTGGATTCTATTGGCTCTTATCTGATGTCAGTTTAGCACTAGGCCTTAGTTGACTAGATTTTTGTGTATAGGCTCAAATACATCTTCTGTGCTGGAACTTAAGTGATGGTCCTGATTTTTTGGCACCTGACATTGATGCTAGTGAACTTTTTTGAGAAATCTTCCTGGCCACTGTGTGACACCAAATGCTGGTCTCGATGAGTCCTTGGCATGAACCAGTCTCAGGCCTCTTCTTGCATTCTTCATAATAATTAATCTCCTGTTATTTTTTCCTTTCTCTAGACAAGGCGCCCACCTGTGTCTCTGAGAGACTAGTATCTCTGTCCAGGCTTTTCTATGGCCCCGTTGGACATTTCAGTCATAACAATTTGTTTTCTGCTACTCAAGAGCCGGGGAAAATAGTTGGCTCCTCAAGATTTTGTCCCTTTTTATTCAGATACTTTTTTGAGGGTTCCACGGAGCTGCCTTCCATCTCAGAGGGAAACAGCGCCACTCAGCTCTTCACATTTGCAAGTCTCCTTGGTGAAGCAGTTGATGGGATGTTTCCTTCACGAGAACTTGCTCAGGTTGCTCTACGATTTACCAACAACCCCAAGCGATTCCAAGAAAACCTTTTCGGTGGGATGTTCTTGAAGAATCTGGTCCAGTTTAACTTTACAGGAGCCCTTGGCCCAAACAGCAAATTTAATTTGGACAAGTATTTCCAGCAGGTTGGGATAAGAAGCGGATTCAGTAAACTGGCTGGTCAACTTTTGCAGGGAAGCTCCCAGGAGAAGTTTAATCTGAGCCAATCTCTCATTGACAGTTTTGGTCGAACGGTCAATTTAGAGGACAATCAGAATGCCGTCAAATTCCTTGCTTCTCTTCTTGAAGCCCCAGAGTTTTTCACTTTTCTGCAGCATGTGATTTCTGTCCCAGAAAGTGTCACCAAAGATTTAGGCAATGTGGCGACGATTCTGTTGAAAGCAAGAGACTGCACAGAAGAAGACAATGATGTCTTTGTGCCAGACTGTACTGAAGATGGGAACTACAAGGAGATTCAGTGTAAGAGAGGGGAGTGTTGGTGCGTAGATTTAAGGGGAAAAGAAATCCCCGGATCCAGAGTACGAGGAACAAACCCACGGTGCCCCACAATGTGTGAAAAGCAAAGGGCCAGTTTGCAACTCTTAATTAGAGACCAGCCTGCAGGATCTCAGATATTTGTTCCTTCATGCACCAAAGAAGGCAAATTCCTGCCAGTCCAGTGCCATGGGAAAAACTGTTTCTGCGTCAATTCAGAAGGCACACCTGTTCCAGGAATAAATACCAATTCTGGAGACCCCATACAATGTAAGTTTCACATGTTCACATGCATTATTGTTTTGGGTTTTTTTTTGTGAGATGTTCCTAATGTTGAGTGATGATGAAAATATGAATACATAGAGCTTAGAATGCAAAGCTAGTCATGGAAGAACTTCATAGAAGTCTGCTAGGTCTAGAAAATATTTAGGCTCTCTCTCCCTGAGAAACCCACTCAAATCCCCAAATTTTGGTTTCTTTAAAAGTGGAAACATTGGTGTTGATTTCTGTAGAACCTGACTACCAGATGGCAACTTAATGAGAATAGCAGCATATGATCTCCTGGTTAAGAAAATAGAACATTGCTCCTTGCATGAGGTCCCGTATGGCCTACTCATCTTCAAATAACTCTCACTTTTCAGTTTTTAGTGTCCCCAACATATAGCAACAGCATTTAGACTTATATACTACCCCATAATGCTTTATGTCAGAGTCTGAATTCAAGGAGGAAGCCGGACAGCTGACAGAGAATGGGAGTGTGCCTCCATTGGCTGTGGAGGAGGCTGGGGAAGGGCAAAGTCCAGCTGGGCAGAGCTTGGGAGAGATAGAACAAGGGAGAGGGAATTCAGAGGAAGACCCAGGCTCACCCCCTCTTCATCCTAGGGCATGTAGGGAAGAACAGAGAAGAGAGCAACATGGATTGCATGGCTTACAGGGGAGGAAAGGGCCCTGATTCCCTTCATTAGCCACAGCTGGGAAGACAGTTGATAAGAAAGGCAGGCTGAATATGACAGCTGCTGGGAGCAAATGTGACTTTATCCTATTTTGTTGTGGCTTATCTATGTTCCTGGTGTCTTCCCAACCATGTGAGTTTTGCTGTGCCTTCAAGTCTGAAATTTTTGCTCCTGCCCCCACCCCTGCCAAACTAATTACTTCAGTTTGGCTTGTTTGGACTTTAAGTTACAGTTTGTGTTGCTCATGTTTTGGACTTAATTTTCTGTAGTCAGCTATTCCTGGGAGAGTTTGTCTTCAGCCAGAAGGTAACCTGGACATTGGGGGCAAAGTTGGAGATAATAAAGGGACTCTTATTGCTTATCTGACTGTGTTGCCTTTGTGCCGCACCCTGGGTCATCACAGCTTTACAGATCTCTCTGGATGGTTTACAATATCAGCCTATTTCCCCCAACAATCTGGGCCCTCATTTTACCAACTTCAGAAGGATGGAAGGCTGAGTCAACCTTGAGCCCATCAGGATTAAACTCCAAGCTGTGGGCAGAATTAGGCTGCAATACAGTGTTTTAACCAATGTGCCATCAGGGCTCTTTTATATTAAGTTGATAACATGGTTGTTAAGTGAATCTGGCTTCATCATTGGCTTTGCGTATCAGAAAGTCATAAAAGGTGATTCCATAATCCCAGGACATTGCAACTGTCATAAATATGAATTATTTTCATGCAGCTTTGAGAAAAAGGAAATGCTTCTACAATTATGCCTTGAATAATTGTAAAATGTCATGCCTTGTATCTCATAACTGCTTCTTCAAGTTGTTCCATGCTCTGGCTGTTGTCAGCTTTGATGGTGTCTAGCCACCGTGTTCTTTGGAGGCCTGGTTCCCTTTTTCCATTAACTCTTCCAAGCATAGTCTCTTTCTCAATAGAATTCCTCTGCATGTCATGGCCAAAATAAGTGAGATCCAGTTTTGTGGCTTTTGCCTTCCAGTGACATGACTGATGTGATTTCTTCCAGTACTTGCCTGTTAATCCCCTTTGCTGTCTGAAGACATAAATTTATATAAATGCATTTAATATAAGCACGGTCACATTTATTTTTTAAAAAAGTTTAGATCTTCAATTGAGTTGACCAGGTCTATCTTTTAAGCCTACGAGGATTTAAAATGGAATCTTAAATTTAGCTGAACAATTAATGAAATAATTAAAACTCCTTCAATGCTCTTTCTATAGATATTTTTTTTAAAAAAAACCAATATCGTCCTAATAATCTATAGGTATACTGGCCATTTTGATACTGTTTATCTCCAATAGCTACTGAATAGAAAAGAAGAGAATAGAATCGAATTCTTATTTTTTATAGAATAGAATTCTTATTCTGAATAGAATAGAATAGAATAGGGAATAGAACAGAACAGAACAGAACAGAATAGAATAGAATAGAATAGAATAGAATAGAATAGAATAGAATAGAATAGAATAGAATAGAATTCCTTATTGGTCAAGTGTGATTGAACAAACAAGGAATTTGTCTTGGTGCAAATGCTCTCAGTGTATATAAAAGATAAATCATTATCACAGTCATCATAAATACATTCATAAGATATAGCATTTAGTGGTAGTTGTAGGATACTAAATAAGCAATCAACATAAATCATGCTAGGAAACTAAATAAAACAATATAAATTGTAAAGATACAAGCAACAAAGTTACAATCATAAATAGAAAAGGAAATAGGTAATAGGAGGGATGAGAAGAATAATGGTAATACAGTCTTAGTAAATAGTTTGACAGTGTGGTGGGAATTAGTTGTTTACCACAGTGATGGCCTGGGGGGGAAAAACTGCCCTTGTGTCTAGCTGTTCTGGTGTGCAGTGCCCTATAAAATGCCTATTTTGAGGATAGAAGTTGAAACAATTTATGTCCTGGATGTGAGGGGTCTCTAGATATTTTCACAGCCCTCCTTTAAGGACAAACAGATGGTGATTACCAAGCAGATGGCTAGATTCTGCACAGCAGCACTAGGGATTCATCGGAAACAGGTGATTAATCCACCCTAACCATTTTACACAACTACTGTAGCAAACTCTTGCATTACTACGTTGTTTTGCATTTTAGTATTTAATGACTACGAGCATCACAGTTTACGGATTGCTATTACAGCATAGTTAGGCAATGTGCAACTGACCGATTGATGCCAGATTGTGATTTTAATATAGATTTTGTCTGTTATTTATTGTTTTATTTTAGGATTTTTAACTGGATATGCATTGAGTGTTTTTATTTATTCTGGTCTCAGGTCTTTGACTATAATGAAGCTGATTTGATTTGATTAATTAAAATGAGTTAAACTCGTCCATTTCAGTTTATTCTTAAGAGCCTTGGCAGTGCAGAGGTTAGAGTGTAGTACTGCAGGCTACTTCTGCTGCCTGCCAGCTGCTTGCAATTTGTCAGTTCAAATCCCACTAGGCTCAAGGTTGACTCAGCCTTCCATCCTTCCAAGGTCAGTAAAACGAGAACCCAGATTGTTGGGGGCAATAGCTGACTTTGTAAACCGCTTAGAGAGGTCTGGAAAGCACTGGAAAGCGGTATATACCGGTAAGTCTAAGTGCTATTGCTATTCCTGTGCTAGAGCAACTATTATAAAACACCTGTTCTACTGACTTTGTACTGATCAAGTTGGTTCTTTATTAGGTCCAACTGACTGCCATCTTGCAGCTGGTAAAGCTTTTCTAAGATCTGCCAAGCAGTTTCTCTTGAATCCCGCTTCTTTGACTCAACTGTCCAGCGTTTATGTACCTCAGTGCAGTCTGGATGGTCAGTGGAGGCCAGTCCAATGCAATGGTCCACCTGAACAGGCATTTGAATGGTACCAAAGATGGAATGCTCAGAACAATAACGACAAGGTGCTTACCATCGTTGACTTGGCTAACGTACTCCTAGACTACAAGGCAAGGTCTCAGCAAAACTTTGAAGATTTCATCAACATACTCTATGCTGCGGGACGCCAGAATATGTTCCCAGAATTTTCCAAATACTCATCTTTGGAAGCTGTTCCTGGAGAGCTGCTGGAGGGCAAAACATTAGAATCCTCTGAGAATGTTTTACTGAACCCATTCACCTTTTGGCAGCTTCTTCAAGGTCGGCTTAACTATTATCCAGGATCTTACAGTGATTTTAGCATCCCCTTGGGACATTTTGATCTTCGCAACTGTTGGTGTGTGGATGAAAAGGGACGCATGCAAGGAAGCCAAGCCAGTGTAAACCAAGTTCCAACTTGTAAGTAACTTGAGCCAGTCACCAGATCTTCCTGTGACAAAACATCAGAACAAATAAAATAATAGGGTTGAAAGGGACTTAGAGCAAGGGGTGAGATTCTTCCAGTTCAGACCGGTTTGGGTGAATGGGCCTTTTTCCAGCTTCCAGTGGGCCTCCAGAGCCTGTGGGAGGCCATTTTCACCCTCCCAGAGCCTGTCGGAGGCCTCCGGACCCTTGGGAAGTCAAAAAATGGCCCTCCTAGAAGTTGTGGTAGGCCACACCCACCACGGCCATGCCTACCCAGCAACCAGGCAGTGAACTGATTGCTGGGATTTTTGAATCCCACCCCTGCCTTAGAGGTCTCCGAGTCCCATGGCAGGAGATCCTAATACCATTCTTGAGGCTTGATGGAATCATAGAAAGAATAACAAAACAGAATAATTGAGTTGGAAGGGACCCTGGAGGTCTTCTAGTCCACCCCCTCTTCCACCAAGCAGGAGACCCTATACCAGAGGTCTCCAAACTTGGCAAGTTTAAGACTTGTGGACTTCAACCCCCAGAATTCCTGAGCTAACATGACTGGAGGAGGAATTCTGGGAGTTGAAGTCCACAAGTCTTAAAGTTGCCAAGTTTGGGGACCCCTGCCCTATACCATTTCAGAGAAATGGCTGCCCAAACCTTTCTTAAAAAAAAAAAATCTCCACTGGTTAATTGTTCCAAATGTCAGGAAATTTCTCCTTAGTTCTAGGTTGCTTCTCTACTTGATTAGTTTCCACCCATTGCTTCTTCTTCAGCTTTCAGTTGCTTTAGAGAATAGATTGATCCCGTCTTGACGGGATTGAACAAAATCTCAGTCTAGTGAAGCATTTATGATGTGATTAACATTGCGCTAAGCCATACATTCATTTTGTTTTAGTTTTCCATTATGTATAGCCCTAGGCTTAGTTTGTAGTCCATGGATGGTGGTTTAGCATTCTGTGTGAGCCTGGCCATTGTGATTCAGTGAACAAATCTGGGTTAAACTAAACCAAGATTTCTTTTTAAATTAAAGATTAATGACCATTAATAGAGTCTTCCCTAGAGTAATGGTTTTTTGTGGAAAATCTTTTCCCATTATAAAACATCAGCCATTATCACTGGTGGATAGCGGGCCTTTTCTAAAATCTACCTTCTTTTTTTCCCTTTTAGCTTTTATTCATTTAGTTCTCCAAATGCAAGGTTTCTAAGTTGCTTTGACTAGTTAACATTTCCTTTTATATAAGGCTAATGAAGTCCTTTGAGACATTTATACAACTGAGAAATTGCCTATAAATATTTTAAATAAATACAAGAGGAATTGGGCATAATTATTTGCAAGTGGCAATGGTCAGCCAGTTTTAAGCTTAGGTATTTAACACTCCTACTTGAGAGAACAGCCCACTGGGATCTGAATCTCAGATTGCATTATTTCTTCCTGGCTCCAATTTATATATTGTGAGCAGAACTGCTAAGTTTATATCGTGTTTCCCCCAAAATACGACCCTGTCTTATATATATATATATAAGACAGGGTCGTATTTTGGGGGATATATATATATCTTTGCCACCATAAAAAGCACCAGGTCTAATTTTCGGGGGATGTCATCTACTGTCTAATCTCACCTGCATGCGTCACCCCCGGCATCCTTTTCTCTGTCAGAGCTTTCAAGAACTTTTTCTGCAGCCGGCAAGGCTTTCCTGAAGGCCTCTGCAGCCGATAACAGAGCTCTGGATCAATCCAGAGCTTTTTTTTATCAGCTACGGAGCCCTTCAGGAAAGTCTTGCCAGCCTTGAGGGCTGCAGAAGAAATGGGCCAGCGAGGTAGATGTCAGGGTGTGCAAGGCCTGGCTACAACTGTCCAAAGGTAAGTAGTAGGGCAGTTGCACCCCCCTATTAGCACCCTAGCTTAATTTTTACCCGTCCACTCTGGAATGGACGGGATCTTAATTAGGGCTTATTTTTGGGGTAGGGCTTATATTGGGCGCAAATGTAAAAAAAATCAAGCTAGGACTTACTTTCAGGGTAGATCATATTTTCAGGGAAACAGGGTAGTTAAGGCAGTTCAGTATACTGAATAAAGTGGGGCCTCGCGTAAAGGTAATATATTTATTCGAAGGCTGATTTTTTATATTTACCATGTATGTATTATATTACTATATTTCCTTATCTGTTTTAGCCTGGAATTAGACCCTGTACTTCACTATTATTATTTTTGTTGGATGGGATTATAACATTAATCAATGTAATAAACTGGTACTCTTTATTTGGGAGCCAGATAATCACACTGAAGTTGAACTGAAATTAGTGAGGGACTCTTTCTTATTCCTTGCTTGCTGCAACACCAGGCTAAATGAACGAACAAACAAACAAATAAATGGAACTCTGACTTGAATGGGAGATAATAATTATGTCTCTGTTGCCCATTAATTAATATGCAGGCAAAGTAAAAATCATCTTCATCTTCTTTTATTTGAATCCTTCCCCTTTGCCTTCCCTTTCCTCTTCTTCCTCCTCCTCCTCCTTCTTCCTACTCTTCCCTTTCCCCTTCTCCCTTGCCTTTTCCTCCTCCTCCCCTGTCTCTCTTGCTACGTTCTCCTCCTACCACTCCTTCCTTCCCTTTACCCTTCTTCCTTACCTTCTCCTTCTTTTCCTCCTTCATCTTCCATCCCCCTCTCCCTCTTCCCTTTCCCATTCTTTCTTTCCTTCTTTTCCTCCTTCCCTTTCCCTGTCGCCCCTCCTCCTCTTCCTCCCCCTCCTCTTCCCCCCCCCCCTCCAGATTTGCCACACTCTGAGCAAACTTTTTGTCTTCTTGCAGGTCTTGGAACATGTGAATCTGCAAAACGAGAAGCTGTGGAATTTGTTAACAAGGTGGAACAACTTATTCAGGAGTCAAACAGCTCTCATTTTCCTTTCGGACAAAGCTTTTTAATGAGCCAAGTGTCCATGTTAAGAGGCCAAGAGCTTTGGAGTAATTCTTCTCATCTGGAAAGCACTTTTGCAGAAATACTGTTGGCAGGGAATGATTATGCCATCCAGCTGGCTGCACAATCCAGTATGTTAATTTTTTTTTAAAAAAATGATTTTTCTAGAGGAACGTCAAATGGGGGTGGTCCAGTAAATTTTGAATTACTGAAGGAAGAATTAGCATTGTAAGGTTTGCTAGAGTGTCTACAGGAAGAGGATCAACAAGATGATGATCACAACTATATGATTGATGACCTGACTGTTGATCACATGGTTGTGGCCACCATCTTAAGTTTTTTTGACTGCTCTGTGGATACCTCTGAAAACTTTGTTTATTCTCTTAATAGATACCATGGGAGGAGAACCATGTTAGTGTTTGACATTGTTTTTCAACCTTAGCAACTTTAAGATGTGTAGACTGAATGATGGCTGGGTGATACCGGAAATTGAAGTCCACACATCTTAAAGATAAAGATAAAGGTTCCCCTCACACATATGTGCCAGTCATTTCCAGCTGTAGGGGCCAGTGTTCATCTCCGTTACAAAGCTGAAGAGCCAGAGCTGTCTGAAGATGTCTCCGTGGTCATGTGGCCGGCATGACTAAACACTGAAGGCTCATGGAACGCTGTTACCTTCCCACCAAAGTGTCCCTATTTTTCTACTTGCATTTTTATGTGCTTTCGAACTGCTAGGTTGGCAGAAGCTGGGACAAGTAACGGGAGCTCACTCCATTACACGGTGCTTGGGATTCAAATGGCCGAACTGCCGACCTTTTTGACCGACAAGCTCAGCGTCTTAGCCACTGTGTCCCATTTCCGCATACCTTAAGAGCTGTCAAATTTGAAAAGCACTCATCTCCAGTAAGCAGAGATAGAATAGAATGAATGAGCTGGAAGGGACCTTGGGGATCTTCTAGTCCAGCCCCCTCCTCAAGCAGGAGAACCAATACCATTTCAGATAGGTGACCGTCTAGACCAAGGGTCTTCAAACGTGGCAAGTTTAAGACTTGTGGACTTCAACTCCCAGAATTCCTGAGCTAACATGACTAGAGGAGAAATTCTGGGAGTTGAAGTCCACAAGTCTTAAAGTCTAGTCAAACTTGAAGACCCCCCTGGTCTAGACTCTTCTTAAAAACATCCAGTGATGGAGCAACCAGATCAGATAGGGTCTGGTAGCATCTTTCAGACAACAGCTTAAGTCTCATATTAAAATTTGTTAGTTAAAATGTTTTTGGTCACTTTGGTTTCTGCAGCGTTTGTTATCCCAAAAGAAAACAAAATAATGAATAAAAATCAGCTCTTGGCATTTCCGTGTGTGATTGTCCAGCCTTCCAAGGTGAACTTCTGAAGCAGGAGTGTCCAACCTTGGCAACTTGTGGGCTTCAATTCCCAGAAGCGGGGAGCCCCATTCATGACTGGCTGGAGAATTCTGGGAGTTGCAATCTACAAGTCTTGAAGTTGCCACGGTTGGATACTCCTGCTCTACAGGAGCCTTTCTCAGCAGGGACGGATAAAAGAAGGTTGTAACAGTGGAAATGTTCTAAGAAGGTATTTGTGTTCATCTGCTGTAGCAAAAAAAAATGCCTAGCATTTTTGTGGTACTATAGAAGCTAATAGGTTTATTTTCAACCCAGTCCTCTTCAGCAATTTTACAGAGTGGAGGTTCAAATATGGCACTTTTTTCATATTCTCTCCTTGGGGGAAAAGATGAAATGAATAGAATAGAATAGAATAGAATAGAATAGAATAGAATAGAATAGAATAACAGAGTTGGAAGGGACCTTGGAGATCTTCTAGTCCAACCCTCTGCCTAGGCAGAAAACCCTAGATCACTTCAGACAAACGGTTATCCAACATCTTTTTAAAAACTTCCAGTGTTGGAGCATTCACAACTTCTGGAGGCAAGTTGTTCCACTGATTAATTGTTCTGTCAGGAAATTCCTCCTTAGTTTTAAGTTGCTTCTCTCCTTGATTAGTTTCCATCCATTGCTCCTTCTCTTGCCTTCAGGTGCTTTGGAAAATAGCTTGACTCCCTTTTCTTTGTGGCAGCCCCTGAGATATTGGATGACTGCTATCATGTCTCCCCTAGTCTTTCTTTTCATTAAACTAGACAAACCCAGTTCCTGAAACGGGTAGGTTCCGGCAATAGGTAGGGAGAGAATCAAGGGAGGTCAAGGGAGAAAGCTGGATTGTAGAAATTGTAGAAATGGAGAGGTATGGAGGCTTGGAGAGGTTAGTAATGATGAGCAGGAAGAAGAAGAAGAAGCTGGGCCCTTTTGCATCTATTTTATATCAGATTTTGCTTTTGAATGATCTACATAATAGCTACTGATGAATCGGTCGCGGAAAAGTTCCATGTTTTCTATTGTCTACATCTCTGTGGCCGCCTTCATTGCTTAAGCCATATTTGCTTTGTTGTAGCTTTGCAATTTTATCGGAAGAGTCTATTTGCATCCCCAAACTCCCCTGGCAAGGTTCAACGCTTGGCATTTCAGCCTTATATCCCCCAGTGTGATGGAAAAGGGAACTGGGAGCCCATCCAGTGCTATGAGAGCACAGGTGAGAAATATCTAGGAAGGCATTTGCCTGAGTAAACATTGATGGTCTTTCATGGCTGTAGATATTAGCAATTACATATAGTAATCCTCCTCTCCTTCTCCTTCCTCCTCCTCCTCTTCCTTCTCTTCCTCTCCTCCTTCTTCCTCTTCTACTCTTCTTCCCCTTCCTCTCCTCCTTCTTCTCCTCATTTCCTCTTCTTCCTCTCTGTTCCATATTAGCATTCTTGGAATACCCTCATCTGATTGGTACAAACGGACTACTCTGTGATTGGTGGAAAGAACAACAGTGATTGGCTCGTAATGAATCAACCGCGATTGGCCGTGCCGATAGTGGGAGATTCAAAGAGCCGTCATTGGTTGCAAGCTGCCGGCAATCCCTATATGAAGGGCTGCCGCGGCTCGCAGGTCCAGCACAGACCTATATACCAAATAAAGGGCTGAACAGTCACCCTGGTCTCAAGTCTCTTTTCCCGCGATCTAACACTCTCCTTCTTCTACTTCCTCCTCATCTTCGTCTACCTCATCCTACCCCATTTTCTTCCTCCTCCTCCTCCTCCCTCTCCTTCTCCTTCTCTTTCTCCTCCACTCCTCCTCCTTCTTCCTCCTCCTCCTCTTCCTCCTCCCCCTTCCTTCCTAGGTTACATAGCAAAAATGAATCTAGTTACTTGCATTATTTAATTCCTTGCACGCATTTGTATATAAATAATAAATACTATATTCTCCCTTTATTATAAACAGTTCAAGATGGCCCAAACTCACCCAGTCAGCTTTCATGCCCAATGAAAGACTGGAAGTCACAAGTCTCCCAGTTTCTAGTTCAGAACCTTATCCATTACCCAAAACTAACTCTCCGTTTTCAAAAAGATGAATAAACTTCATTAAGAGCACAGGGCCTTCATTACATACATCCTTAGATCATTCTTCTAATTGAAGAGGAGGAAAGCACCACTATCACCATGAAACTTAAGTCTTTGGGAAAGCCACGTAGCCTTCATAGGACTTGCTTTCTTCAATGAAATGTATAATAGAGATTTATGTCTGCTCTGATTATTTTTTTTCTGTGGAGGCCAGTTCAGACGAACTAAATTGCCAGGCCACATTCAATACAATGATTTCTTCTTTACTGAACTATTGACTAATTCTACTCATGTACTGCAAGGAACATCTCTTTATGAAGTGGTTCCAAAACACATATTTTTGTTCTTTATCACAGGTCACTGTTGGTGTGTAGATGAGATGGGACGTTATGTTTCGGATTCCTTGGTGACACGCTCAACACAACTGCCCGAGTGTAAGTCTTATTCTTTAAATCTGGGCTGTTGCCCCTTAACAAGCAATACAGATAGGGAAGAGAATAGGATAATTTTATAAAATTGTAGGAGTGTCAACTCAGGGTGAAATGTTCAACTTCTTAATAAAAATATCACAGTAATCATTTTTGGGCACCATTTCAAGCTTTGCTTAAAATGGAGGTGTGATGTTGCTTCAGTCAGTTGGAATGATATGGCTATTACAGAAATATTGAAAACCGACCTTATTTGTTTAAATAATCTAATGCAACATCTGTAACACCATCCTGTCAGAGCTGAAGAAGTTTCTGGGATGAGAAGCAAAATGTCTTCAAAAGAAAAAAAACAAGAAACCTCTTGAAAAAGCACCTTTGGGACAACAATAATGATAGGCTATCATATTAGCACTTCTTAGAATTACCAAGTGTTCATGCATGATCGCTTGGTCAGCCTAGGAAGCATAAGAAAAGAGAAATAGTCTCTGCAAAGATTCCTACACTTCTGCAAACACATGTGGCCTCTTTTCCACTAAAATAAATAAAAGCAAGCTGTCATGCCCTTGTTGGAGTCTGATTCTGAGGGGGAGATTGAGCAGCTGACAGAGAGTGGGAGTGTGGATTTGGTGGCTGTGGAAGAAACGGGGAATGGGCATAGTTTGAATGGGCATTCAGAGGAAGACCCAGGCCATCCCCTCTTCATCCTAGGGCACACAGGGAGGAACGGAGAAGAGAGTAACATGGCTTATGGGAGAGGAAAAGGCTCTGATCCATTTCATTAGTTGCAGATGCGAGAACAGGACATAAGAAGGGCGTTTGCACACAGCACCTTGCTGGAAGCAAAGCGTGCATTATCTTTGTCAAAGCTTATCTGAGTTTTGGAGTCCTCCCAATTGTGCGTGCTCTGTTTTCTTTTGGAAGTCTGCTATTTATTATCTTGGTCTGTCATGTTAATTACTTCAGCATTGGTTTGTGTTGGTTTTTTTAATTTCTAATTTAGCTGTACTTTGGTTTTGGACTGCATTTCTTCCCTTTGTAGACTGTTTTTGGAAGAGTTTGATATCCAGCCGAGGATAATTGGACATTGAGGCCCAAGTTGGAGGCATTAGAGGGAATTTATTCTACTTTTGTGACTTGGTTATTTTTGTGACATGCCCCGGATCACAACACAAGCAAGACCTCTGCCCATCTTAAACATTTTAAACCAGCTTTCTTTTTCTGGGGAAGAATCAACTGATCAGGGTTAATTTCTCCTAGCACTAAACTCTTCATGGAACTGCTATGAGTAAAAACACTTTCTTCACTGGATCCAAGATGAAGTTCTTTTATGCCACTCATGGGGATGTCTATATTAGAGATGACACATGGTATTAAGCTAACATTTCTTTTGGTTGAGTTACATTTCTTAGCCCATGTGTAGATAAATCCTACCTGGGACACCATAAATAATTTCTTATTCAGGAAAATACATTTCCAGGAAAAAAAATTGGACATATTGATAACCTGCCTCTATCCTAAAGGGCTCTGGATTTGAGTACCATAAAGTCAGGGACTGTCATGCCCCTGGTGGAGACTGACTCTGAGGGAGAGGAGGAACAGCCGACAGGGAGTGGAAGTGTGGCTCCAGAGGTTGTGGAGGAGGCTGGGGAAGGGCAGAGGCTGGCTGAGCAGTCAGAGGAGGACCCAGGCCCATCCCCTCTCCATCCTAGGGCACACAGGGAGGAGAGGATAAGAGCTAGATGTGGTCTACTCAGGAGAAGAGGGATTTGATCCTCTTCATGGGCTGCAGCTGTTACAACTGATTAAGAGTTTGGACCTGCGTACTGGCAAACGCTGGAAACGAAGTGTGTAGATATCTCTAGTTTATAGCTCTCTCTGAGCTTGGTGTCCTTCCCAATGTGTGTTATCTGTGGACATCCTCCAGCCCTCATCTTGCCTGGTTTGTTTTGCTTTTTTCTTTCTTTGTGTAACTTTTTGTGTGAAAGATTTTTGTCTTCCGTCAAAGATATTCGGAGCTTGGAAGCAAAGTGAAGGAATAAAAGGGGCTTCACCTGTTTTCTGTGACTGTTTGTTTTGTATCCCACCCTGGGTCATCACAGGTACCAAAGTTAAAGTTCAGTGTAAGTAGTTGTAATTGAGGACTACTGTATTTAACAGAATAGGAAGGGACCTTGGAGGTCTTCTAGCCTAGTCTAGCAGGAGACGCTATCCCATTTCAGACCAGTGGCTGTCCAATCTCTTCTTAAAAACCTCCAGTGATGAAGCACCCACAACTTCTAGAGGCAGGTCATTCCACTGATTAATTGTTCTCATTATTAAGAAATTTCTCCTTCGTTTTAGATTGTTTTTCTCCTTGATGAGTTTCCATCCATTGCTTCTTGTCCTGCCTTCAGGTGTTTTTGTAAATAGATTGACCCCATTCTTCTTTATGGCAGCTCCATAGATCTTGGAATATTTGTGTTTTGTTTCTCAGTCTGCTGTGAGAGATTTTACAGGTGTCCTTGGAGATTGGATTGGATTGAACTTTGTCCTTGGCTCACTTATTTGGATCGATGAAGTGATTCTGGGGATGAATTTCTTCCCCTGTGTCTTGACTACTGGTGTCATTGCCTGGAGTGAACACTTAGTTTCAAAAATCCTCAGTTTCTGCAACTGTTCTTTAATTAATCGGGGTGAAGAAATAAGTGGGTCTGCAGACTTGTTTGCTAGATGGAATACATATTACTCTGTAAAAAAATGATCTGAATGCAGGTCAGACATCGTGTCAACGTTCCCAAGTAAATGCCCAGATTGCCAGTTGGAGAATGAATGGAGAGACACGGAATGCCACTTCAGCAGCTCTGTTTACTCCATCCTGTCTGGAGGCAAGTTGCATAAAGCTGAAAATTGTATTTTGATTATTACGTTATTACATTTTTTCCTCTTTGATGGTTGGGATATTTCTATTTTTTTTTTTTTTTTGGTGGGTGAGAAAGAGGGCATGGTGGCCTAGTGGTTAAGATGCCGATCTGATCGACCAGAAGGCTGGCAGATAGAGATTGAGTGACCTCCCACCCCTTGCTACAGCTCCCGCTCACTTAGTGGTTCGAAAGCATGCAAATGCGAGTAGATAAGTAGGTACCACTTTGAGGAAAGATAACAGCATTCTGTGTGCCTCTGGAGGTAATCATGGCAAACCATGATCATGAATGTGTCTGCTGGCTCCTTAAGTAGAAAATGGAGATGAGCACAGCTCCCTAGAGTTGGACATGACTGGGCAGGGGGAAACTTTCCTTTCAGGGAGAAATGTGGCTAATTTCAGGTTTGCTAAAAATATGACTCCTTCTTCCTCTCTGATCCGATTATCTTGCTTAGCACGAGGACATGCTAAATCTACAGGAAACAGGATGATTGATGCATTCCCTAATGCCTAGAGTGACTTTTGGGGTTTTAGATGTCTTTAAGAGCTTTTCTTGTATCTACCAAGTCAAGATTGGGGAACGTATGAGGAGTTAGGGGCCCCACATCAGTCTCCTGACATTTTCAGGACCAACAGAGGCCTTCTGGTGATTTTGGAAAGGGATTGGTGCAGTGGCTTAGAGGGGGAGCTCTTGCATCACAATTAGGAGGCTGTGAGTTTGATCCTAGGTGGATGCAAATATTTCTCTCTCTGGGCACACTGAGAATATATCTGCTGAATAAAACTCTGCATTGGCAACAGGAAAGGCATCCGGCCAGTAAATATTCAGCTCCATTTAGTTGCCCAGACTCCACCTCTCAAGGGTTTATGGGGTCATTAAAAAAGAGTGATGATGATGATGATGAACCTGATATATTTTCACGAGCCTTTGGGGGAGTTTTAAGGGCAGGGAGGGTAATGGGAATGTCAGGAACAAAAAGCTTCCATTCCCAACCTCCCTATGCAAATCTAGAATATTTTTGCTATTGTTGGTGGTGGTGATTTTTGTTGGTTTTTAAAAGTGGGGACGGGAGCAGGAAGCTTCCCATAAGGAAACTGTTCCCGCCTTAAAATTTCCCCAGACTTTGAAAAAGAATCCAAAACGTCAATGAAACGATCTCAGGGTGCAAATGGAATGCTCAAGACCCAAATATGATCACCATCTGTAGACACAGTCCATGTCCCAGTTAAGCATCTATGTAAATGAAGATTCCTTTGAGTTCAACTCTTGGTGACTACATGGACACAATTGTCCTATTTATTGGCATCAACACAAGTGTACTTTGCTATTGTCCTCTTCAAGGGTGGGTTTTTGTTCGGCTTCCCAACCTACTTGACAAATTGTCATCACACTGAATGCTGTTCTACCTTCTTTGGGATCAACCACACTCAGCTGCTCATGATTATACTGTTCATTTTAGAATGAGTAGTATAATAATGAGCTCAAATAGCAGGAAATATGAAGAGTGTTGTGTGTGAATTAGCCAGCTTTTAAATTTTGTTAGAATTCTGGTCCTTAAAAGCAACAATCTTGTGTAGAATTTGTGGACATAACCATATCTATCCATCATCTGTCTGTCTGTCTCTCTCTATCATCTATCTATCTATCTATCTATCTATCTATCTATCTATCTATCTATCTATCTATCTATCTATCTATCCATCCATCCATCCATCCATCCATCCATCCATCCATCCATCTATCTATCTATCTATCTATCCATCCATCCATCCATCCATCCATCCATCCATCCATCCATCCATCCATACCTCTATCTATCTATCTATCTATCTATCTATCTATCTATCTATCCATCCATCTATCCATCCGTCTGTCTATCTGTCTATCATCCATCTAATTTATATGCCTACAATTCTATTGTAGAATGGAGAGTATGCAAATGTTCAAAAATTGGATTCACAGGCCTGGTGTGTCAACGTGGTGTCGGGAGAAGTAATGCAAGAGAGCAAAATTGATTCTAATGGCGAGATTCCTTGTAAGTGACTGTGATTGCTTTCTAATTTAACTTTCAGTCCTATTTAGGGAATCTGCAGAAGTTCTCCTTTCGCCAATCCTGTCTTCTAAAGCGAAGGAGATTATTTGGTAAAAAGGACGGAGTGTTCTGGTGGCAGCAGTAATGTTAGTAACAAGAGAATGCCACTTTCTGGTTACCAAGTAATCAGCATTAGGAAAATACGATTAGAAAAATATTACTTGAATGTTCCTAAGTTTTAAACATATGAACCACTATATGTTATCATAGTATCTATATCTATCTATCTATCTATCTATCTATCTATCTATCTATCTATCTATCTATCTATCTATCATCTATCATCTATCTATCTATCTATCTATCTATCTATCTATCTATCTATCTATCTATCTATCTATCATCTATCTTTATAACACCTTTATTATTTTCACAAATATAACTCAAGGCTGCAAACCTATCCAACTTCTTTCTGCTATCTTCCCTGTTCTAGGTTCCATCTCTCCTTGGTTAGTTTCCATCCATTGTTTCTTGTCCTTCCTTCAGGTGCTTCAGAGACTAGATTGACTCTCTTTCCTTTGTGGAATCCACCTCCAAATATTCTGTAAAGAAGGGCTGAGAAGTGTGCAAACACATTCCAAAATATTCTTGTTGGAATTTTGGCTTGATTCTGCAGGAATGCTCTTGCTGTGTTCTCAGCCTTTACCAATTGGAAACTTTTGTTCCTGCTAAACCGATTAAAGCTCTATTTTTAAGTGTCTGCTTCTAGGCAATTAAAAAATGGAATAAGAAAAAGACATTCCTCAGGGGGAGAAAATACTAGATTTTACTACATAGGTGTGACCACAGGAAATATTTATTTGTACATCAATCCAATTTTTATGGTGCCTGACTGCCTATGACTCTGGACAGCTTACAACCGCTAAAACAAAGGCTATGGGGAAGCCAGATTCAATTTAACAACCGGGTTGCTGACTTATCAGCTGCCGTGATTCGCTTAATAACTGTGGCAAGAAAGGTCGTAAAATGGGACAAAACTCACTTAGCAAATGTCTTACTTAATAACAGAAATGTGGAGCTCAATTATGGTTGTAACCTGGTCGTATTATGGCCGTATTATTATGGTCGTAACCTGAGGACTATCTGTAATATAAAAGATGGCCAGGCAAGAATGAAGCAAAGAGTCTTCATTCCTCCTCGCTCAAGGTCTGAATGAATAACACTTCCGTGGGTAAAAAATGGTGGCTACTCGTGGTGGCACAGTGGTTAGAATGCAGTATTGCAGGCCAATTCGGCTCACTGCCAGCAGTTCAATCCTGACCGAGGTTGATAAAATGAGGACCCAGATTGTTGGTGGCAATACACTGATTCTTTAACCGCTTCGAGAGGGCTGTAAAGCACCATGGAAGGTGGCAGGGGTGGGCTTCAAAAATTTTAGCAAAGGGTTCTCTGTCCGGTTGCTGGGTGGACATGGGCATGGTGGCTGTGGCCTAGTCGGCCTCCTGTACCACGGCAGGGGAAAATTTTGCCCTCCCCGTGCTCCGGAGGCTTTCCTTGAGCCTCCAGGACGGCAAAAACAGCTTCCTCTGGCTCTGGAGACTCTCTGGAAGCTGGAAATGGGACCATTTCTGGCCTTCCCGAACTTCTGGGTGGCCCATTTTTCACCCTTCCCAGGCCTCTGTGCATGCCCTGCACTTAACCTGCATCCAAAACGGGCCATGTGGGGACTCGTGGGAGGGGAGGGGCCAGGTGGATGGGGCCAGCCAGGAGTGGGATTTTGGGATTCTCTGAACTGCACAGAATCTTAGCTAGGGGCTCTCCTGGACCCCTGCGAACCCCCAGCAGCCCACCCCTGTATATAAGTCTGTGCTATTGCTTATTGCTTCAATCCGTGCCTGTCCTACACTATCTAATTCTTGTTTTTTGAAGGCCCCAGCTTCTGCAGTCTGGTGAAATCGAAGGTTCTGGTGCGAGAAATCGGTAGAGGCTACATCCCGGAGTGTGACGACGATCGTCAGAGTTTCTCTCCAGCACAATGCAGTGGAGACCAAGCAAGCTGTTGGTGTGTCCTTGACAATGGCCAGGAGGCTCCAGGGACAAGAGTTAATGGCCAGAGGCCTGCCTGTGAACGTAAGCGACATTTTAAGAACCAAGGGGGATCTTAATGTTTAGATGAGTTGAGGTGTCGCAGTGGTTAGAGTGCAGTACTGCAGGCTACTTCTGCTGCCTGCCTGCTGCCTGCAATTTGGCAATTCAAATCCCATGAGGCCCAAGGTTGACTCATCCTTCCATTCTTCCGAGGTGGGTAAAATGAGGACCCAGATTCTTAGGGGCAAGAGGCTGACTCTGTAATCTGCTTAGAGAGGGCTGTAAAAGCACTGTATAGAAGTCTTACGTGCTATTGCTAATTTTGATACCTAAGACAAATTCCTTGGCATGACCTTGTTCACTGTGTTCTTCCAGGTCCACAGTGTCCTCTGTCTTATGATGCTTCTAACCTGACCCACGGTGGGGTTTTTTGCAACATCACCACCGCAAACTCAAAGATTCAGCAATGTCAAGTGATTTGCTCTCCGGGCTATCAAGATGTCTTGTCTCAAGGAGAACTTCTTCTGTGTGATACCCAGAATCTCCTCTGGCTTACAAACCCACCTCATTCTCTTGCCTGTCAGAGTGAGTATAACAAGGGAGAACGTATACAGAACCCTGTAGTAGGGTACAAAGTCTTTTTTGATTCAGAATACAGGAATTTGACGTATGACTTCTTGCTTAGTGGCCCTTCGAAGTTACAATGACCTCTCCAGGGCTATCTATAGCCTGGTTCCAAAGTACTGACAGCTACCATTCCCACATGGTCATGTGACCATACTGGTTGCTTAGCAACCATCCTGCATTTATGGCCGTCTGTGGCATCCCACCATGATTTGACTGCATTTTACAGCAATTTTGCCAAAAACTGGCACTTATTTCTGGTTTTTAGAAATAAAACAGCCCATAGTAAACCCTTAACAACCACCGCATTTGCTTAATGAACATTGCAAAAGAGGTTATAAAATTGTGTCAGTCAGTTGGGAGACCTAATTTTTGATTGTCATTATAACCATGATGGCCAGGCTCGTAGTTCTATAACAACAACAACAACAACAACAACAACAACAACAATAATAATAATAATCTGATTCTACAAAAAACCACCCTACTTGGAACAGCTTATATTCTCCGACGCTACCTGAACAGTTCCTAGGTCCTTGGTTAGGACTTGAGCTGTTGAGCTACCAACCAGCCCTAAAGCTGTGAATCTCACTAAAGATTAAATCATACTACTACTACTACTACTACTAATAATAATAATAACAAACTAGACAAATAATAATTTGTCTAGTTTAGTGAAAAGAAGGACTAGGGATGACATGATAGCAGTGTCCCAATATCTCGGGGGTTGCCACAAAGAAGAGGAAGTCAAGCTATTCTCCAAAGCCCCTGAAGACAAGACAAGAAGCAAGAATTTGAAATGTATGTGAAGAAAATAAGGAGGAAGGCATCTGAAAGGGTCTAAATGTTGTTGGATCCTTGGTCTAACCCTGACTTTGTTTGCCTTATGTCTAGGACTGCAGCCATTCCAAAGTATCCAGGTTCAAACCCAGTTTCAGCTCATCTTGCCTCCAGAGAAGACCTGCAGCCCTGATTATTCCGGGTTGCTGGAGACATTCCAGATCTTCATTCTGGATGAGCTGAAGTCTCGTGGCTTTTGCCATATCCAGGTATTTTAATGGTGAATCTATGCAAAAGTGAATGAAGCAGCTCTATTGTGGATTGTGCGTGGCCATCCCTGGGTATGATTTGGCCAACCAATAGGAGCACACTGATTTCTGAATCTATCATGGTATTATTACAACTACATTTGTGTCAGAAGCATCTACCAAAGCACTTCTGGATTGAAAGGACTAGCCGGCGACATCACCGTTGCCCAGAGGATGCTCAAAGGGGCTCCCACCAAAGTGGTACCTATATATCTACCTGCATTTTCATGCTTTCAAACGGCTAGGTGGGCAGGAGCTCTTTCTATTCTAAAGAGTCAGTTTGGTCTAGCAGCTAAGGCACGAAGCTAGAAACCAGGAGAATGTGAGTTCTAGTCCTGTTTAGGCATGAAAGCCAGCTGGATGACTTGGTTCAATGGATCCCCAGGATAGTGTGAGTTCTAGTCCTGCTTTAGGCATGAAAACTGTCTGGGTGACTTTGAGCCAATTATTCTCTCTCAGCTCAATCCATCTCACAGGGTTTTTGTTGTGGGGAGAAGGTAGAATAGAATAGAATAGAATAGGAATAGAAGAGAAGAGAAGAGAAGAGAAGAGAATATTTGTTTAAGCTTAAACATGAATTGTGGCTGAATTCAAATCACAACCACTACCAACAATAGCAGAATCTGATCTTTTTTTTTTTTTTTTAAGGTCAATACTTTGGAGAACTTGTTGTCTGTTCCAGTCTGTGGAGATTCTGCTGTCCTGGTTGAGTGTGCAGCTGCTGACCGTCTGGGAGCGAATGTCACATGGCAAGCTATGCTCGAAAATGTGCCAGCTACTGCACTTCCTGACTTATACGACATCGGTTAGTTTATTATTTCTAGCGTAATGTGGCTGTTTTGACTAAAATATTATTGGCCCTCATCCTCTTCAAATATGTCAGGGTATTCAAGATCTAATGAAAAAGCCTAACAGAAATGAGTGAAAATTAAAATATATATATATTTTGTTTTAACTCTTTGAAAGTTCATAGGAGCTGTACCATCACCACAAGAGACTGTGCTTTGTATTGGAATCATATTTAAATATATTTGTCACAAAACGCAAAAGAGGAAGGGAAGGGAAAGGACGGTCGAGGGAGAGCAAAAAAGGGAGGGAGGAAGGAAGGAAAAGAGAGGGAAAGGAAAAGGAGAGGGAAAGAGGGGTAGAGAGAGAGGAAGGGAAAGGAAGGGAAGGAAGGAAGAATGGAAGAGACTATTACTTGGTTTTTTGTTTCAATCCTGGAAATTCTATTATTTTTTTCCCAGCTTTTAAAAGCTCCTTCAAAAAAAAAAAAATTGAGCCCAAACATATACTAAGAATACCAAGCTTGGATTTCCTTTGTATTAATATTATCATCTAAAATTTAGTTTAGGTTGCAGTTTCCATTAATTGATTAATAATTCAGCCGCAACATTCTTGCACATTTCTATTTTCCAATTTGGAATTCCTAAACTCTGACTGTCACTCATTACCCTAAGAAAGGCCAAATTGTAACCACCTCCAGAAGCTTCCTGTGAGGAGAATAGCTATGTGGGCACCAGTTCTGAAAGCTATTTGTATTTATATCCCTTGCACCTGGGAAGGATTAAATGAAGGAAAGTTCTCTGCTTGCTCATATGTCTGAAATACTTGTATACAGCAAAGGATAAGATGAGTTTTAGGCCTAAATTACATTTTTTTTATGGCCTTGGAAAGCATTCTGGACCACCAAAGAAATAATAAAGATCTATTCAATAACTGTAGAAAGTACTGTGGTTGGATTATATTATAAAACATATAATCTTTAAATATTGAAAAAAAACCATAAACTACATTAAGATAATTGGAAAGGAATTCAAGTATTTGTTTATTTTGGACATATGTTTGCACTTGGGAAAAATAACAAAGCACAATTTGTTGTGATAGAATTGTACTACATATAGGGTGAATGATCCCAAGCCTACAGCACGACATGATGGACCTATTTCAAGAAACTTGGTTGGAAAATCTGTCTCAACAGGCAGGCCTCAGCTGAAGAAACTTTCATTGGAGCTTTATTTGTTGTTGTTTTTTTAAATAGGAGTTGCTCATGAACAGAACTAGGAAACTGGGGAAAAAACAGGACATGAAACCAAATTTGTCCTTCCATTTCCCAATGTTTCCAGTCTTCAAATTCAGTTCATGATATTTTCATATCCCCACAGACATTCACAGGGCATGGTGCATATTTTTCCTGGTGCATATTTTTCTTGAGACGTGCATTTCTTCATCACATATATACTTTATTTGTGAGTGATGGTCTTTAATATGATTCATCATATACTATTTGCACTAAGATATAAAATATTCCAGGGCACTTTTTTTCTGACATATTCTTTTTAATTCATAGTTTAAAAATTCAGAGAAGTGCAATTTTAAAGGGTCTCTCTTTCATCTCTCTCTCTCTCTCTCTCTCTCTCTCTCTCTCTCTTCTCTCGGCAGTTTATGACATGAAATATTAGCTTGAGAATGCAAATCAGATTACTTTTCCCCTTTTCTACCCACAAAAACCTTCCCATTAAGGTCCTATTAAATAATGGAACAGGGCTGAGAAGATCCCTGGTAGGGACATCAGGGTAAGCATGTCTGTTGCCAATTAGAGATAAACAGAAATATCAATTAATTCCAAAAGGATAGTCAACAGCCTTCAAGCTTTTAATATAAGCAGTATAGCTTTATATATAGTTTAGAGGCCCTTCTGAAGACTCTCCTTGAATCACCAAATTCCATCTTCCTGAAACTTTGGCACAGCCACTTCCAGATCTTCTGGTTTGTGAAATGCTTAGTGTCCTCTGAGCTTGGTTGTTTTCTTGCAGATGTTTCATTACCCAACTAGATAGCATGATCAATGCTAGTTGGGAGTGGGGTTTGCTTCCTTTTTTTACATATTGGTAGCTTGTCTTGTCAGTGTTAATGGGAGAGGTCTTGTTTCTTGATTGGGCTATTGTTTACTGATCGCATGTTTGTCTGAGTTGGTTGTTCGTTGATTGGGATATTGTTGACTTGTTGGTTGTTGGTCTAATGTTAATCTTCTTGGCTTATTCATGCATGTCCAGAAAACCTTTTCTGTTGGGTCTGCTGCCAAATGGAATGCCTTATGCCATCTTGAATAAATGCCAAGTCTGATCATCCAAGTAATAAGTTCTTGGAGTGGGTCTCTTCTCTTTGAATTATCCACTCATTTCAATGGAAAGTGCCCCCAGGATATACCTGTCAGTGTTTTCCTGCTGGAATTCTTCTACTTGGTTCCCTGATTTCTATCATTTTCTGATAGAGAAAGCCATGGTTGGTGAGAATCTCCTTGGACGTTTTGAAGAGCTGATCAAGAGCGGTGGCTTTATCTTCCAATTGGACAACAAGCAATTCCGAGCAGACACTTTCATCCGTGTTCCTGGAAAAGGAAATTCCGGCATGTTTCCTAAAGTTTCTTTGGGATGCAAGGATGGTTTTCACAAAGTCTTAACTACTGGAGAAGTGATACTGAATTCTCAAGGATGTGGTATGTATCAATGTAGGATAAGAAGTGGAAGAAAATGGGCAGGGGAGAGTAAAAAGAGGGATTAGCTTAGAATCCCTACGTGGTCACAAGTGAACTAGTTCAACCTCCCTTGAATTCCACTGAGCCTTATCTAATTCTAGGTGCTAAGCTAGTTAGTTGAGAAGATTCCTGCCCGTAGGCTGTTTAGCAACAAATCAGTTTAATTAGACCTTCACCTATGGGCCTGGTCTTTTGAGCCTGACAATCATTTGGGTGGTGACGCTTGCTTTTTATTTGTTACTTGGAAAGAGAAGGGTTTTGGTTTTAGCTTAGCCTTACTGAAAGTCTCTCTCAAGACAAAAACAAATTATTTTATCAGCTTTTACTGAGCTTGAAATGGTAGCAGCGAAAGGAAAGCAAGGTCTGAGCCCAAAGGCGCAAAAGTTACATATTGACAGTTTCCCCAAATCCCTCCCCTCAGGGACCCAGGCTGAATGTCCAAATCTGCATCCCTTATAGTGTCATGTGGAGCACATCTTCAAGTGCTTTCGTCCATCTGGAGTTTTAGGAGGGTTGGCCTCGACTGGGTGTAAACAACGCCATTCAGCAGGGCAATAATTCTTGAGAGCAAACCTCCCTTTGAGTTCACAAGGGCCTTCCTCACACCAGCTCGCTTCCCAAATCCCAATGCCATGCCCTCCTCCTGTGTCCCATTACTATGGCAGCCGATAGCGAGCATGCGTCAAAGGGGAAACCCAGGCTGGAGATCTAGCTGACAGTTGGACTGATCCAATAACAGCAATTGTACATTTAAAAAAAAGAGCAGGGTTTTCTGGGTATTTTATCAGGGGAGGTATTATGAGAGGGGTCCATGAGTCCTTTTAGAAGGTGCAATATAGTAGGACTGGATAGCCCCTTGTCCATAGAGGTATAGTCTCAGCTCCTATAGAATTTTTTAATATGGGCCTTTCAAGACTGCTGTGGAAAGTACCTTGCAGCATGCTGAAGTTAATCCCTTATGACAGGGGTGGGCTTCAAAAATTTCAGCAACGGGTTCTCTGCCTGGTTGCTGGGTGGGCGTGGCCAGGTTGGGCGTGGCCTAGTCAGTCTTCTGCACCGGGGTGGGGCTTTTTGCCTTCCCCAGGCTCCGGAGGCTTTCCTCAAGCCTCTGGGAGGGCAAAAACGGCCTCCCCCAGGCTCTGGAGACCCTCCGGAGCCTGGAAACAGGCCCATTTTTGGACTTCTGAACTTCCAGGAGGCCCATTTTTCACTCTTCCTGAGCCTCTGTGCAAGCCCTGTGCAGACCTCGCATCCAAAGTGGGCCACATGGAGACTCCTGGGAGGGGAGGGGCTGTTCTGACCCAAGCCTTGTTCAAAGCAAACAAACACCAAACACAGATAAAAGCAAAACCTTTTGAATGCTTCTCTGTGAATTCCGTTCATTCACTTTAAAACGCTATTAAAAACTAATTGTCCCAGATAAAAACAAGCCTTGCCAAGGTTGTGCAAGGCTGCCAAGATTAAATTGCAAGGGAGTAATCAAAACCAAAAGTCTCCAAACACATATCAGGATAGTCCGAACTTCCACAAGACTTGAAGTGCAAGAACTTCTTTGCTTCCTGCAAAGAATCTCACTTCCGAGGGCTGGCTTTTATCTCTTAAAGGGAGGGGCCATCACCTTGCAGCCTTACTCCTGAGTTGCCCGTGCTGTTGCAGCTGCTCTTTCCTTTGAACAGCCCTGCGCGCACGCGCACTGGGCACAGGCTCCTCGGGATCCTCTTCGTCACTACTGCCAGCTCCCACAAGCTCCAAAGGCAGCACTCTGCTCCCTGGTAGTCCTGGCCCCATCCCTACATCACACGCAGGCCCCTCATCTGAGTCCTTGCTCTCTGAGACCTCAGCCGTCTGCACCCGTTGCCTGCGTACCACAACAGGGGCGGGGTGGGGTGGGATTTGGCAGTTCACTGAATCAGCCATAACATTAGCTATGGGTTTGCCCGAACCCGGGTGTACCCCTAGCAGCCCATACCTGGCTGTGGGAAGTACATTGCAGCATGCTAAAGTCAATCCCTTCAGAGTCTGGGGACAGTTACATGGTGTGACTATCTTTCTGCTTTGAAAAGAGGACTTTTGATTTCTCAAGGAGCTCTCTCCTGGAAGAATTCAAAATGGATTTGAATTCCATAGGCTAATAAACCTTTTCTCCGTTTGCAGCTGCCTGTCCTCCAGGTTCCTCCTTTCAGAACGGGGGCTGCATTCCATGCCCTTCTGGATTCTATCAAGACCAAGCAGGAAGTAACTTGTGTGTCAAATGTCCTCTTGGGACACTGACTGTCTCTCCTGGAGCTTTCAGAGCCGATCACTGTAAGAGTCTTTGAAAAATGCATGATGCGTTTTCTGTTTGATGTTGAAGATGTTGTTGTCAGTGCTCCATCCCTGGAGGTTTTCAGAAGAAGGCCGGGTGATCGTTTATCCAAATGATATTAAGCAGGGAGTTGGACTAGAATTCCTCCAAGATCCCTTTCAAGTTCCAACTCTATTATTTTATGTTCTATATACTGATTTCCAGTTGTTTAATAAAATAAAGCAAGGTAAAGGCTTCCCTTATCCAATCATGTAGTTTCATACATTACGCTAAACCAGGGCTCTCCAATCTTGGCAACTTTAAGACTTGTGGACTTCAACTCTCCGAATTTCCCTGACCAGCATGGCTGGTTGGGGAATTCTGGGGGTTGAAGTCCACAAATCTTAAAATACCCAAGTTTGGCGCCCTCTTCCCTAAACCAAGGACTGGTTATTGGATAAATCACAATTATCTGGATTGCTTAAATGAACTATAGTTATCTGAGTTCTTATGCGACACGGTCATAAATCCTGGTTTAAGAAGCAGAATGGGTGGGTTTACACAGCATACTGAAGCAAAGCAAGCAACATTATAGGTTAGAATATGGTATCCTATACAATGTTCAAAGCATTTGTTTTGGATGTGGCTGGGTCAACAAATAATGGGACAGCAGGATGGTAGAATTCTGGCTTGTATCTGGGTTTGTATTGTTTCCCTTAACTGTGGCTTCTTGAATAAGATACAATAGTCGCTATATAATATTTGCACATTATGCTAAGCCAAAGTTAAAAAATCCACCTTATAGTTTTGTGCAGAATTCACACCTAGCCCAGTGAAGTAAACATTCATTGAAAAATAGGAGACAGAAACTTTAACTTAAGGTCTGATTCATCCAGAAAGGTCTTTGGCTGGAGAATCATAAACAGATGGACTTCTGGAGTCCTTGATGGCTCTGAACTTGGTTGTGTTTTTTTTTTTGCAGATGTTTCATTACCAAACTAGGTAATATTATCAACAGCACTGTTGATGTTACCTAGTTTGGTAATGAAATGTCTGCAAGCAAACAACCAAAGTCAGTGAGTACCAAGGACTCCACTCTTCAACCCTGAGCTGCAAATATTCTCTTCTATTGAGTGGAAGTCTGTCCCACCAATTTTTTTTATAATTCTGTGCCCATCCCAGGTATTACTGATTGCCAGAGGAATGAGCAAGCTGGACGGTGTGATGAAAATGGCCAGTATAGACCTTCTTACAAAGATCTTTCCACCCAAAAGTCATTTTGTGTTGACAGCAATGGAAAGAGATTAGACTGGACAGAGACAGATGGTTCTTGGACAGATTCCCAGTGTTCAGGTGAGTAGATTGGTCAAGCCTTCACATCATAGAAGTAGAACTTTGACATAACCCAATGGTGCTTCTCCAGAAAGCAACTGGACTTTCTTCTCCAGTTTTTTTTTCCATTTGAAAATGTTTTTTAAAAAACATTTCACTTCTCCTCCAAGAAACTTCTTGGAGGAGAAGCGAAATGTTTTTGAGGAAAAAAACTAGACATCCAGTTGCCTTTTGAAGAAACACATTTGGGACAACCATGATCGGGATGATTGAGACAGTGGTGGGATTCAAATTTTTTACTACCGGTTCTGTGGACATGCCTTGGTGGGCATGGCAGGGGAAGGATACTGTAAAATCTCCAGTCAGAGGTGGTATTTGCCGGTTCTCCAGAACTGGTCAGAAATTTTCGCTACTGGTTCTCCAGAACTGGTCAGAACCTGCTGAATACCACCTCTGGATTGAGGATCTTCATAGACAACTTCAAAAAAAGAAGATGCATCCATGGATGCGTTGCAAGGTGAACTCCCTTGTTTTCCTTCTTCCCTCCTCCCCTTCCCTTCTTTCTAATTAGGACTATAAGATTTAGAAAACTGAGTACTCCCTTTGGGCCCAACTGTAAAAGGCCTTAATTGCTTTAGCAAGAAATAATTGAACATTGTTTCATCTTCTCTCCCTAATCCTTGGGGATGAAATTGTGTTCGCTTAAACTGATCCTGAAGGCAACCGTTGGCATTTATTTCAGAGAAGTTGTAAGAGGAGACAACATTCCTTGGGGTGGGGTTGACTGGTGTGCAGTTACACAACTGTGCTTGAGGTGCCTTATTCATTAAGGTATCACATATCCCAGGGAAAAGATAAACCTGTTTTCAAAATAATAGCGGTTACCATAATAACAGCCTTCAGAAGTTGTAATAATAGTAATCCGAATTAGCATCTTCATCAGTAGTTTTTATTCTTAATTGACCTTCTAGTGGTGCTGAGGTTTAGAGTACCTTTTGCTTCTGGTTTGCATCACTTGAAGTCCTCCATATGTTATTCTCCGTGTGTATGTGTGTGTTTGTGTGTATCCATGTGTGTAAATCTGAGTGTAAGGAAATGGAAAAGCATTTCTATTTTTCTTTTATTTATTTGTTTGTCAAACATATACAAGATAACAAGTATAGGTATGAACCGAGACAAGAACAAAGGAAGTAAGTACAGACAAATCAGGACAGTAAGACAGGGACGGAAGGCACGCTGGTGCGTTTATGCACACCCCCTTTAAGGACCTCTTAAGAAGGGGTGAGGTCCACAGTAGACAGTTTGAGGTTGAAGCTGTGAGGGTTTGAGGCTGTAACAACAGTCAGGTAGTGAGTTCCAGGCATTGACCACTCTGTTGCTGAAGTTGTATTTTCTGCAATCGAGTTTGGAGTGGTTTAGAATAGAATAGAATAGAATAGAATAGAATAGAATAGAATAGAATA